TATATATATATATATATACAATGCCCATCACCCACTATCATGCCCGCCGCACAACTCCATCACAATCTTACAGATTTTATGGAGTGCAAAAAAAAGCATTATGGCAAATCATCAAAATATAAATATTTCAACAAGAAGATAAAAACCAGATTAAGCGCATGGAAACTCTCCAGAGATATGCACAATAAGCACAAGGACGCAAACATGTGTCTTAACTGACAGCGAGCACAAAGCCGCGGCTGTTCTTTTCAATATCAGCAGAAAGTGAGAGGGAAAGAAAAAAAAACAAACAAAAAAATTGGGTAATAATCAAAGCTCTCCCATAATCCCCCTCATGTTACGGTGTGCCTCTCAGTTGTCTTTTTGGTGTTGAAAACTGCTGGGGGGCACACGCTTTTCCATGCAAATTGAAAAGGTTGGAAGAAAGCGTCCGCGGGCCACGTTTGCAGCGGCGGCGACACAGACAGAGAACCGGAGTCCCTCCTGTGGAATTCGCCACAAAGCAGGCTGGGATTAGGAGCACAATGGAAGAGAGAATGTGGGCTGAGGGGAGGGAGGTAAAACCCCACGGCACGGCGGGCGCTCGCTCTCCAGCCCGGCTGCATTTCAATAGGAGAGACGGCTCGCCACACTCCGCAAGATCTTGCGAGACCGGCCTCTCGCTGACCACTTGCGAAACGCAACTCACTGCGCACCAGTTACAATAGGGAATGCATTCAAGACATGCACTGTATCATTCACAGCGTTCTTTGGGAGTTGGGAACCCATAACCTTGGCATAACTACGCCGTAGTTTTGCATTCCTGCAGTTTAGACAATAAAGCAATGCCAAGGTCATGGGTTCGATTCCCAGGGAATGCACGAACTGATTAAATGTATAACCTGAATGCAATATAAGTCGCTTTGGATAAAAGTCAAGTCAAATGTATTTATGTAGAGCTTCATACAGTACACACTGTTTCAAAACAGCATCACAGCAATAAACAGGAAAATAACAGCCTTAAAAAGGGATAGTTCACCCAAAAAAATCATCATTTACTCACCCTCATGTTGTGTTTTTCTGTCGAGCACAAAATATGATATTTTGAATAATATTAGTAACCAAACAGTTACTAGTAGCCATTGACTTCCATAGTAGGAAAAAAATACTATGGAAGTCAATGGCCACCAGCAACTGTTTGGTTACCAACATTCTTCAGAATGTTTTCTTTAGTGTTCAACAGAAGAAGGAAACTCATACAGGTTTGGAACAACATGAGGGTGAGTAAATGATGACAGTTTTCATTTTGACACCAGGCCGGGGTGCAGGCCGGGGAGCTGAGCGCGGCCGGGGGCCTGACTGCTGTGGGACAGGGGCACCGGGGACGGGGACTGCTCGGCCGTGCTGCCCGGGATGGGTTGCTGACTGAAGCTGAGGTGGTTGGTTCCGGGTGGAGAAAGATCAGACAGACTGTCCATCTCAGCTATAGGTGGACACAAAGAAGATGAAGCATGTTAATAAACAGGGTTTGGCTTGCCTCAATAAAAGCTGCTGATGATGTTAGTCTAAACAAAAGCTCAGTTTTCAAAAAATAAATAAATAAATAAATAAAAATACATATAAATTCAAAAAATGTAAATGACATATTTTCATTTTATATATATATATATATATATATATATATACAATGCCCATCACCCACTATCATGCCCGCCGCACAACTCCATCACAATCTTACAGACAGTATGGAGGGCAGAGCACAAAATATGATATTTTGAATAATATTAGTAACCAAACAGTTACTAGTAGCCATTGACTTCCATAGTAGGAAAAAAATACTATGGAAGTCAATGGCCACCAGCAACTGTTTGGTTACCAACATTCTTCAGAATGTTTTCTTTAGTGTTCAACAGAAGAAGGAAACTCATACAGGTTTGGAACAACATGAGGGTGAGTAAATGATGACAGTTTTCATTTTGGGGCGAACTATGGATTCTTTAATAATACAGAATTCTTCAATTTCAGTTATGAAGCAGTGTAATTATTCAGATCAATTTAGTTCAAGACGACAACTAAATTTATGAAAGCATCTGCCAAATGCATAAAAGTAGATTCCCCGTAACATCCCAGCTACAAGCCCCACCCATAATAATCTCAATGGCTTAAAATCCTGCTGCGCATAATTTTATATTAAACATCAAACTGTGTTCAAAAAGTTCTGATTGGCTGTGATTTTTAGAAAAGCATTTTTTGCATTCAGTGTGGACAGATATATTTCTTATAGCTAGAAACTTGCTTGATTAGGACAAAATGAAACCCCCCCAAAAAAAGAAACCTTTCAAAATAAGGCAATTTGCAATTGCAAAATAAGTATATATGATACACATATGCAAGTTTATACACCTGGACACATACAGTACAGTCACTTAAAGAGTTATATCACTATATAACAAATTTCAAAAGATTGATTGTCTATATATACATATATATCAAAATAGCAGATGTATGTCAAATGTCAAAATAAGTCTCAACTGCTTATATCATTCCAAAATGTAAACTATATTATTGCCCAGCTGTAATCTGCTAAAGCGACTATAAAGCATGAAGCCATTAAGATATTATAAACATTAATATGATTTTCTGTAAAGCTGCTTTGAACAATGTGTATTGTAAAAAGTGCTATACAAACAAATTTGATTTGACTTGGCAGACATTTAGTGTCATAACAAAAGACCAAATTGTTTGTTGGGTTTGTACATTGTGTGTAAGTTTTTATCATGGCAGACTGTGTCATCTGACGCTAATCGTCTTGCTCACGCGGTTCTCGGCCTGCCGTGACAGTGTCGCCGCCGTCAGAATGTGAGCACATTCGCTCGTGAATAATAAGGTGGGGAGGGTTGCGGTGCGTCATGTGACCTACCTAACGTGGTGGCACGTGGACTGTCGTGGAGGACACACGTCCCCAGGTAGCCCTCCAGCTGGGAGGGCTGGCGCACGACTGCGCAGACGAACACACAAACACGCAACACACGCATTCACAGGTGTGGAGAGAGAAAGAGAGAGTGTTAGTGGGGGTAAAAGTGAACGTGTGAACAGGAAACAAGAGGCAGATGTCAAGAGCTGCAGCATAACAACCTGACTGACTGACTGACAGGTGCGTGTTTGAACACTTGAAAAGCTCAAAATCACAGTGCTGTTGATTATTATTTGCATGGCAACGACGGAATTTAAGTCAAAAAGGCTTTTTGTCTTAAACATAGATCTATATTTGACAGATATATGATTATACGATTTTAACTGAATCTAAAGAATAAACAAATGAGGCATATTGAAAATGAGTAGACAAGGAAAAGACTAGATAGACAGTCAGGCAGATATACACAGACATATAAAGAGACAGACAGACAGACAGGCAAACAAATAGTCAATTGATACACAGACATAAAATGGACAGATAGAGATGCAGACAGATCGATCAACAGAGAGATAAATAGTCAAAATAAATAAGTCAGTGAAGCAAATATAGGTAGACAAAGACATAGACAGAGAGACAGACAGCGAGACAGATATACATATATAGACAGAGACAGACAGATCGATCGACAGACGAATAGTCAGATAGATAGACAGGCAGATACAGACAGACAGAGAGACAGTCAGATCGACAGATAGGGAGCTATAGACAGATAGATAGATAGATAGATAGATAGATAGATAGATCGATATATAGTCAAATGAATAGTCAGTGAAGCAAATATAGGTAGACAAAGACATAGACAGAGGGACAGACAGCGAGACAGATAGACAGATATACATATATAGACAGAGAGACAGACAGATCGATCGACAGATGAATAGTCAGATAGATAGACAGGCAGATACAGACAGACAGAGAGACAGTCAGATAAACAGATAGGGAGCTATAGACAGATAGATAGATAGATAGATAGATAGATAATAGATAGATAGATAGATAGATAGATAGATAGTCAAATGAATAGTCAGTGAAGCAAATATAGGTAGACAAAGACATAGACAGAGAGACAGACAGCGAGACAGATAGACAGATATACATATATAGACAGAGAGACAGACAGATCGATCGATAGACGAATAGTCAGATAGACAGACAGGCAGATACAGACAGACAGAGAGACAGTCAGATAGACAGACAGTCAGAAGACAGTCAGACAGAAAGACAGACAGACAGAAAGACAGTCAGACAAACAAAGAAAGAAAGACAGACAGACAGACAGACAGACAGA